TGCTAGGCAAGGACTACGCTGGCCCAGAGGCCTGAGATAACGACACTGCACCCCAGCTGGTGGCTTCGGCAGTGGTCCATGGGGCCCTGCCTTATCACACCAGTCTGCAAGGGCCGAAGGCTTTCCTTTTAATCGAGTAGACACTCCTCAAGTTCGAGTGTCTATGCCCAGGATGACATGAGTCTGTTTTCGGTGGTGGCAGCGCAGGGGCTTGAACCCCTGGCACTTGTCACCTAGCTGTGTCCCAGCCCTTTTAATTTTTTACTTTGAGACAGCATCCCACCCAGTTGCCTAGGCAATTTGAACTTGCGGTCTTCCTACCTCGGTTTCCCCTAGTGCTGGGACCACCGCACCTGCTCCGCGTATGATCTCTTAAGGCAGCAGGTTCCGTGATGACGGGAGGTGTAGAAAGGGCTGCCGCTAGGGTAAGGAGCCTCTGCTGCTCCTCTTTTTATGCGAAGTCACTTCCCTGGGACTGTAGGGGGCACCGTGTCGGCTTAGCGGGCTCGCCCAGGGACGGGCCTGCCTCACACCCCAGCAAGGGTGCGGTGCAGGAAGCTTGGTCAGTTGGTGGGTTTTGTCAGGTGCTGAGGTTAATGTGGGACTTGTGTCACAGACACAAAAGCCACTTGGCTCTCTTTTAAGCTTTTTGCTCTACAAATCCTCTCAATGTATAAATTTTATTATATGTTTTATACCTCAGTATTTTTGGGGCTCCAGCTTGGGGACTGCAGGAAATGGCTGCAGGGCTTTTTCTGGGCGTTTGGGCTCCTGATCCCTTGCCCGGCTCTCAGGGGTTTGGGGCAGGGCAGGAGGGCACTGTCCTTTCTCCATGTCCTCTTTTTTTTTTTTTTCCTGCACAGGGGTTTGAACTCAGAACCTTTGCACTGAGGCACACCTACTGCCCTTTTTCATTTTTATTTTGAGACAGATCTCTCTAAGCCACGAACTTGCCCAAGCTGGACTTGCATTTGTGATCCTCCTGCCTCAGCCTCCCAGAGTGCTGGGATGGCAGGTGTGCACTGCCGCGCTGCCTCCTCCCGCCCACTCCCCTCTTAGTGGACGTTGAGCCTCTGGTCTCCATGGTGTGGTGGCTCCTGCTCCACTGGGCCTAAAGCATCAGGCACAAAACTGCAGCCTGAGGCCTTGGACGGACATCGTGGAGTGCAGGGGTCATCCCGAAAAGGGGCAGGCAGATAGCCTGGGACAGTTACAGCCCGGGGCATGCCCTGGCCCAGCCCCTGATGGGACATTGGTGTAGGAGGTAGCAGCCCGAGGGCAGAGGCAGCACATGTGGGGTCTGGATCTTAGTTGGCAGGGGCAAAGCATTTGGCTGGGTGTGGGGAGCTCCCTGAGGTGTCAGAGCCCGGGAAATATAGGAAAGAAGACTCCGAACACCCTACTGGTACAGGAAGCACTAACTCTGTGCCTGTTTTTTTGTCCGACATGGTGTTTTACTAAGTTGCGTGCTGCCAGGCTGGCCCCGAGCCCCTGGGCTCAGGTGATCCTCCTGCCTCAGCTACTTGAGGAGCTGGGACGCCGGTACCCTGCAGGAACTCTGCTTTTACAGCTTCAGAACACCGTGGCACTGAGACATACAGCCAGCTGTTTACCCATCCTCCAGCTGTTTTTCTGCCTGCTGCTCCACAAGCCTGGGTGGACACACGTGTTCCTTCTCGTGCTTACAGACCAGGAGTTAAATTCTGGGTCATGAGGCAGAAGCACAGACGCGTCCCAAGTGCTGAACCGTCAGTGCTGTTACACCCTTGCGCCTTCCGATCTGAGACCTGCTCTCTCTGTGTTCTGGGGAACCCTCCTGTCACTCACATGAGTCATTTGGTCTTTCCTGGGTTATTTGAGGCAGGGCATTGATACCTAACCCCGGCTGGCCTCAAACTTGCAATCCCCTGGCCTGCGAAGTAGCCAGGATCACAGGCATGCACCACCATGCCCTACAAATCATTTATTCTTCCCTAAACAAATCATGAGTAAGAACATCCGGCCGGAAACTGTGGGTCTCAGGATCCCAGGGGGCGCCCCTGAGCAGTCCACTGGGACTGCTCTGAACGTGCAACTGTGTTTCCCACAAACCACAAAAGGAAGCCCCTTTATAATGGAGCCAGAGTTATGACACCACGGTTGAAACATTGTAGCAAAATGTGTGAGTCACTTAGGTGCTTCCCAGGCAGCAGATCATCGGTATTTCTGTCTCCTGAAAGCTTGGCACAGCAGGGTTACGTGCAGCCTGGGTATCGCCAGCTGACGCCCTGTGATGCCCCTGGCCCCTGCAGCCACGGTGCAAGCCCTGCTGAATTCTTTTCGGGTGACTCCTTAGCAAAATGTCCCCAGAAACAGGTGACGGTGGCCTTGCGTGTCCCGTGTTTCTGGTTCCTCTTGATGGCATCATGCCTGGGGACCAGCATCAGTCGGACAGGAGCCCTTCCTCGCCTGGCTTCAATCCTGTCCCTGCAAACGAACAAAACCAAAAAGCAAAACTTGCTTTTTTTGGCAGGGGATCAGTACTGGGGACTGAACTCACCGCCTTTGTACTGAGTGACATCCCCCGTCTTTTTTATTTGTTTTTTTTTTTTTTTGTTGTTGTTGTTGTTTTTTCCAGTACTGGGAATCGAACTCACAACCTCATACTTGCTAGGCAGGTGCTGCACTGCTGAGCTAAATCCTCAGCACCCTAACCCCGTCTTTTTTAGTATTTTTTTAAAAATTTGAGACAGAGTCTCTGTTAAGTTGCTCAGTTATCTAGGCTGGTCTGGAATTTGAGATCTTTCTGCCTCAACCTCCTGAGTGCCGGGATTATGGCAGTGTGCCACCATGCCCACTTTACAACTTTATTTTTATCTATCTATCTATCTATCTATCTATTTATTTATTTTGAGACAGGGTCTCACTATGCAGTTCAGGCTGGGCTTGTATGCACTATGTAGCACAGGCTGGCCTCAAATTTGTGATGATCCTCCTGCTTCAGCCTCCCGAGTGCTGGGATTACAGGCATGTGCCACCATGCCCAGTTAAACTTTATTTTTAAAATAAACTTTGTGTTTAGGATGTGTTCTAGATTACAGGAAAATGGTGACGAGGTACAGAAAGTTCATAAATGCTCTTATTGAAGTAGAGTAGAATGGTGCAGTCCTTACAATTAATGAACAACCACTGCCAGGTGGGATGGTTCAGGTCTGTAATCCCAGCTATTTAGGAGGCTGAGCCAGGAGGGTTAGGATTTTGAGGCCAGCCACCAACTTAGTGAGATGGAAAAGAGAACTAGAAAAACAAGGAAAGGACTGGGATGTAGCTTAGCGCTAGAGCATCTGCCTGCACCTGTGAGGCCCTGGGTTCTATTCCCAGCACCGGAAAAAAAAGCCCCACTACTGATACATTATTATTATTATTATTATTATTATTATTATTACTGTTACTATTATTATTGAAACAGAGTTCAGGTTGGTCTTGAATTCACTGTGTATCCCAGGCAGAAATCCTCCTGCCTCAGCTTCCTGAGTGCTAGGATTACAAGCCTGTGCCATCACTGAGGCTGATACATTACTTTGAAGTCAAGTCCATCCTTTGGCCACCATGTCCTTTTGCTATTCAGGACCCCGCTGGACAGCATGTCACCAGCGACCATGTCATTCCCTGGCCTGGGACCGGTAGGGGCAGGCTCCTGGTTGTAAACCATTCTGGATAGGAGCCGACCTCAGACCTTAGGGGCCCCTTGGCGGGGCACCACACAGCCCCGAAGGGCACTCTGTGAGTGGAGAGCTGGACTTCACGGCCACCACGCTGATGTCCAAGTGAGCCACGCTCCCGGGGTCCCAGCAGAGCCCGGCTCTCCTGTGCAGGCCCACCTGGCCCCCTGAAAAGTGCCAAAGGGGCAGGGCATGGAAGTCTCCAGAAAATGAGGAGGCAGAGCTCGGTCTTTTTTTGTTTTGCTTTGTTTTTTTGTTTTTCTTCTGGTACCAGGAGTCGAACTCACGACCTTGTCCTTGCCAGGCAGGCGCTGTGCCACTGAGCTAAATCTCCAGCCCCTCTTCCTGCTTCTGAGCCAGTGTGTCTGATGACCCCTCTGCCGTCAAGGTCCTCCTCCGTTCTAGTTGTTGAACTCCTACCTGCCCTGCAAAGGCTGGGCGCGAGTTCCTTCTCCTGGGCCCTAGCTGTTCAAGGGCCTGTGTGTGTCACCGCGCGTAGCACCCCGTGTCACTTCCCCACCCGCGCCCCGGCTGAGCAGGCAAGTGTCTCAGGGCCGGGTCGTCTGATTCATCGCCCTGACGTCGCTGCTCTGCCTCACAGCGTGCACAGGGCAGGTGAGGCTGCGGTGACCCTTCCTGAGCGCCCTCGCCGGCATCCCGGCCACCCGTGTCCTCCCGCGGGTCGGGCCGGTGCCTAGGCACAAAGGGTGCAGGTGGCGGGGAGCAGACCCGGGACTCTGGGTGCCGCGCAACACCGCAGCCCGGGCCTTCGGAACTCCCAGGCCCCGCCCCGCCGGCCTGGCCTCTCGCACCCCAAATCGCCTAGCCTGGCCGCGTCCCACCCCACCCGCCTGGCCCCATCCACGTGAAGTCACCTAGCCTGGCCCC